TAGTTGCTCCAACACCATCGGACTTCTAAAGTAACTTGTTACTGCCTGAGCACCGAGCACGCGTTGGCTTTGATACATCTTTATTTCACGCCTATACTCGTTTACACCTCAAGATCCTTAGTTGAGAGGAACTGCTCCTCGCGAAGCATTACTAATTTTCCCCTTTATGTACGTACATTTTAAGATATATATTTAAGATATATGTATGTGCACTTTAGATTACATATGTGTTATCTAATCAAGATGTATACCTTTCTAACGCCAAAAGCACCGCTTCTTCCTCCTACGACCAAATCTTGTAAGAAACTTCTCGCTGCAGTATGAAGAATGCTCAAAGATTCTTTTTTTGTTTAGGTGAAAACGAGTACAGTAGAAAAGATAAAACATTAAAAAGGTTTTATTATATAATCGATTAATTTTGAAGATTATTTACAATAATTTTACTTCTAATTATGAACTTAGGAACACACTGAACAACTTCTTGTTAAAATACAGAACCAAATTAAAAATGTAGTCGCTTCAGTATCGCTTTAGTTCGCGCTAAGCACCCTTAGCGAAAAGTCGTTCAAAATCAGTATACTGAAAGTATACTGAAAGTATACTAATAGTGAACTTAGGGTATGTACTGAAATCGTACTAGTTTCACACTTTTATGAAACAAAATAGTGTACCTTTAGTACACCCCAAGTACATATGTAGTATACCGTAAGTGCACATCGAGTGTACTTTTAGCATACTATAAGTGCACGTTTAGTACACTTCGTGTATGCTTTTAGTGTACTAAATGTACACTACCAGTACAAATATGCGGAGTGTCCCAGATAACTTCCACCAAACTTAAAAAAAGAAAACAAAAGAAAACGGAGCGTTCTCCGGGAGTGAAACCAACTGTACGCTGTTAGAAAGTCTCTTGCGTAAGTGCACGAAATTGTTTTGGTGCGCCTATTTACTTAATTAAGAGTAACAAGCTAACTTTTTAAATCTTCGTTTAAAAGCCGAGGTGTGAAATGGAAAGTTGTAGAGCGCATTAACACCCAATTAAACCATTTTCAACAAGGTGCGCTTTGCATGCTCCTTTTTCCTAGCCTTCAAAAAAACGCCCGCGAAATACAAAAAAATACCGCGTGACAACTCGCTTCCCCAATCACGGCGTGCGAGCGCGCCGCGAATGTGCGTGCTTTGAAGGCCGGAAAAAAGCACGAAAACGTATTATGTTTCAAACACTTTAAATGGGTGTTTCTCAATGCGCCCGGCAACTTTACAATTAACATCTTGGCCCTTAAAAGAATATTCGAAAGGTTAGCTCAATAATCTTAGTTATTTACATAACCAGGCGCATTAAAAAAATCTGTGCACTTTCTCAAGACACTTGCTAACGACAGTTGATTTCACTCCTGCAGAGCCCTCCGGTGTTTCTTAAGTATGGTGCAAGTTATCTGGGACGCCGTGTATGTCGGGCGTTTTGAATGGAAAGCACGGTCTCAAATTGACCAGAAAAATCGCCGCCTGCATTTAAAAAGCTGACTTTTCAAAGGTGTTTCTTTGAACGGCTGTATTCCAACCTGTGAAATTTCATCTTATACAGCTCCATTCTCGTGAAATGTTAAGAAACGCCGTTGACAACTCAATTGATGATGATAATGCAGAGGCGCCACCACCGCGAGATGCACTCTTAAAAATGAGTCAAGAAATTAACGAGGAAATCTTTGGCAGCTCTATTCCTCGTGAGAATGACGTACCGGCGTCTTCTGAAACTGTGTGAGAAAAGCCATAAAGAAGAGGTGCACTGCCTTTTTCAACTGAAAGTATGTATGTGTGGCATACAAACATTATGGTCAGTGTTCTTCACGTAATTGATAAGACAGAAATTGAAATCCTACTTATCACTTTATTCAAGTTTCCGAGCCTGCCTCCCTGTACACTCTCCTTTGTGATGATGGTATGCCATTACATCCTGCGTAAAAAGAGAAGAGCAAATTAGCCTATGGCCACTCTATGATATAACATCACATAATTCGCTCAAAGGACCACTATGTGAGGAAGGCAAGATAGTAACAACTTCATCCTGACAAAAGGGCGAGGAAAATCGGGCAATATCGTTTCTGAAAACCTGATACCTGAAAGAAGCTCTAACACAGAGCAAACAAAATGATTGGCATTTTCTTAATGCCTCCTTTTCTTTTGCAGTGAACACACATACAAGTCATACGCTATTACACAATCAGTGGTGCGGCTTGATTTATGATAAGTACTTTTTTATATAACCTCGAGCTTTTAGAGAAAATATTCACTATAATGGGTCGGACTTAAATGGTTGCTATGAACTATCCTATATATTTACACATTATCTGATATCATAAAAGCACTAGAGCAGGGTAGGGCTGTACTGCATCAGTTATAAATTTCTAACCAAAAGTTGACATTTATTTAATATATTAGTATTGGTTATTATTCTTTGACAAAGAATAACTGGGCGAGTTGGTACGTTGGTAGTCTTTCAACTCCATCGAATACTCAGGTCCTTTTAACATTTTTTTTCATGCTTTTGCTTTTTCTAACTGCTCTGCCTTTTGTAGCGGCTTTCGCCGCCACTAAAAAACGCGACATAGAAACTCACTTTATTCACAACACAAAATCGCAAACTTGGAAAGCGTGCCGCTTCGGCATACGCAGAGATCGTCCGTCTCCACGGCACAGGCATCAGCACGGGCAAGAAATCATGCTGCTCGCTCTTGTGACGTTTTTCACGCTAACGCTTTATGAAACAAATCGTTGACGAGAGACTGTTGGAACCACACCTCAGAACTAGCATGACCTGTGATTGCTTGAACTGCCGTCAGACTGTACTTGAACGCTAGGCAAAAGCCTCGTCGGGCGACCGTCGTAGGGACGGCGCCCAGGACAGGCCCTCGGCTGGCCCTCGGTTCCGCCGCACGCGAATCTTTCTCACTCTGCGGAGAGAGCAATAAATTTTGAAGATACGCTCTTTTCAAATAACGAAATAAAACCGGGTAGAGCGTAGTGAGAGTCCAGCATAGCTTAGCAAGCACACGGTACAAGACAAAGTTTGAAACAGCGGCGCACTTCGCAGAAACCAAAGGAACTTCCTCACCTTCGCTTGCACTAGTCGGCCATGACTATCCGCCGCTTGCGACGCTGTGTCTCACAGCTCTCAGTAATCGCTTGCTATTATTGAACACGGTATTCGTAAGTAAGGTATCTAAAATATCCGCAAAAACAGCTAAAACGTAAAAAGGAAGCGATGCTTGAACTCTCCGGAATTCCAACGGCGGCCGAACGGAAGCTGATTGCAATAGCGATGGTCTTGCGCAGTTTTCAAAAGTGTCTTCTTTTTGTTCTTTTTTTTCTTTTTTTTTTAAGACAAAACTATGCAAATCAATATATTAATAATAATAATGTTACTTTATTATATTCGTAAAATAGTAACAAACCGTTTAGTCTATTTAGGTTTTATCTAAACTTTCGGTTTTATTTTTCAGTGTAAAACCGAAACTATCTCAAGCCATTTCTCCCTTGTCGCCAAGGCTATTTTGATTCATCAGCGCATGCTTGCACCGCTGGTATTTCGGCTTTTCTGGAAGGATCGGCTCTCGCGGCACATAAATAATGAGGGTAACCTCGTGTTTTGAAACAATGAGCGTGCCCGTCTTTTTTGACGAGGGAAAGACACGTTAAATTTACGTCGATTTTTTACAGTGTGGAAATCTCGATCGACGGTGTTGTTCGTTGTTGCAATTGTCAATCCCTTTTCAAGTGAATTGAGATGTCCTTAGAGTTTTGCAAGATAAATCTACACCATGAAACACTTTCGGTGAAAGCTTGAGGTTGTTGCATAAAAGCGCCGATTTCTCCAGCCAATTTCAGAGCGAGCTTCCATTCGTAACATCACTTCGCTTACGCGGTTCGGAAGTATATTTGCGCTGCATGCGACCATGCAAGGTGGAGGATTTTATGTCCCCATTATTAGCCGTGGTTTCTTTTGCCTCCTGTCTTTTTGAATGCTGTGGATGCAGATATCTGAAACAGCGTATAGTTACGCTGAGACCTGCATTACAAAAACACCGGATTATTTTGAGTTATTCATAGCTATGAATAACCGAAAACTCGTCACCTTTTCGCAAATTGTTTCAGTTGGGCTAGAGTTTATTCATAGCATCTTTAAAATTGAAAATTCAACATGGTCAATTACACTGTCAATTAAAAAAAGCTAATTAGACAACGTACTGTGACGTTTATTTACTCATCTAATGTCCACCGAACCCCACAAATATTCTGTGAAAACGGCATCGGCCTATCGCGTCTTTAGTGTGTTGATGTTAACAATCGCACTATAAATATCTATATATATATATACATATACCCATTACTATAAATTGAGTACGCCGACTGCAAGCACTGAAAGTAAGCCTTTAGTACACTTGAGTGCACTCCTTGTATACTAATTTTGAACTACTTTTTACCGTGGGCACTACGATTCTACTACATGTACTAGTTTTGTACGGACGAGTATACTTTCAGTCCTCCGCCATTTTTACTGGAAGTATACTTTAAGTACACTTAAAGTATACAATCAGTACAAAAACCGCACTGAAAGTATACTTTTAGTATACTTCAGTACACTTCGAGTGTACTGATTTTGAACGACTTTTCGCTAAGGGCATACCAGCTTTTGGGAGGTTGAGCAATAACACTGTTCATTTGAGTGCTGGCATAAATACAAATGAACCTACCAACGCCTACATGCACGATCGATTGATTGTATTTGTAGTAATAATAATGGCAAGGTAGAATATTCGTTGTTTTTTGCATCACTCTTATTTTATAAAGACTTGGCGCGATGGGCAGTTTCTTCGACTAATATTTTATTTCATTCTACGGGCACTGAACAGACAGTGGAGACAATGGCCTATTTTCTTTCTTAGTTTTTGTACGCATACGAAATTGGGGTCCGCCACCAATTATGACACGCATAGGCATCACTAGTAAAGACTCGAAGAAGTCTTAGCTGTTTGGGTATTTTTGCATATGTTCTTGTCGTACATCATATCGTTTGGATATCCACAGGCGGATATGAAGGCATAGCGGCAAGAGATGGGAAGGCTTCTAAATAGGGCGTCTGCAAACTTAGGCGTTTTTTCTTTCGTAATGTCTTCTCTTCCTGCTGCAGTTTCTGGATTTTCCTCAGCCTGCCTGTCCTCTACTTTTGGTGGAATGCTTTTTGTAAAACGTTCTGCGCGTTCCAGCACCCCTGGTAACTCTGATTTCCTCAGCCAAAAGTCGCATCCTGGAAAAGAAGCAATAAAATTACCAATCATTGCAAACATTTCACTGACATCAATGTAATGGTTCTAACGGAACCCTTAATGGGCAATAGAATAATGAGCAAAAGTAACATAATGGCTTTATTAAGGAGATTATACAACGTGTGTCAAATAATGCTGGTGTAATTGCTCCTGCGAAAGGTACGCATCTCACATTACAAAAAATATATATATATTATATTAGTCTCTGCCAGAAGGAACATTTAAAACAATAATGTTCAGTACAGATCGCCTTCGAGTTATTTAAATAATTATCTTACTAATGAGTAAATTTCAAACCATAATTTCAATTACAGTTTTTACACATCGCCGAAAATAACTAAATCAACAGCGTTCTACGGAGTGAGAACGGGGTCCGGTATGAATGTGCTTTAAGTTGAGGTTTCCAACCAAAATGAATCTCTGCGGCAGCGATTCTGTGCGCCCAAGGCGCACGGCACGAATGGTGCAGACTGGCAAATAAAACGCTGTGCTGTTCAAATAACATCGATTGAGCTCATTGGCCACGAGGAAAGGGTCAACTGGCGCAGAGATTCGCTTTAGTAGCACACCAAAACTTTAAAGTGGCATGAAACGCTTTTCCAACTTTTTCCTGTTTAGCTTTCCTCCTCAACTCACGAGTCGCGCATTGTACCAAACGGTCCAAGAAGACGGAAAGGAAGGACTCCCGTCTTTTTCGGACTTTCGTTCGTGCAACCGGACACAGCCATTCTCCCCCTAGAAGATTAGCCCGTCGCTCAAAATTCAGACAAAAGTTGCTTTCCCCAACCCGTTCATTCCGAAGCTGACAGTGCTGTGAAAGCTACGTGCTTGCTCGTTGGGCCAGCCACACTGCAGAGCACCGAGGCCAGGTGACGAAAGGGAGGCGGCTGATTGGTCCAGCAAGCGCGTAGCTTCCACCACGATGTCAGCTTAGGGGTGAAGGGAATAAGTGAGGTCCGATTTCGTGTGACGTCAGTTTGGACCCGAGGACGCGCTTTTGGGACCGCGGATGTATCACAGTGAAGAGGCAGAGAGCTTACGAAGGAGAGGAGGTACGAAATAGTCCGCTGTGTTTTCAAATTTTCGCACTGAAAGTCAGGCTTTCGTCTTTCTACCTTTTTTCTTTTGGCCCACTGAACGATGTGCTATTAGTAAAATCCCAATCTAAAATGATTTATCCCAACCCAGAAATCGTTTCATGGGCCCCTTAAAGGGCGTACCAATTGAGTGTGTTTTTGTACTACATTAAAATGCTGCGCGTGCCTTATATTTTTGTGAAGGGGCTAATGGCTGTATTCGACGATGCCCAGAATGTTTCTAATTAAAACTATACCTTCGTATATTTTGTTAAAATATATAAGTAATCAAAATTAAATATTTATTTAATTAAGCTGCATGTTATTTTTCTAAATAGTCTCTATGGTAGAAGTAATTGTGACAGTAACATGTTCTATCTGACACGTGTGCTGTTCGCAAATCGATTTCCCAAGCGTTTCGTTTAACACCTGTTATATCGCCGTGTGCATGGCCAAGAGGGAACGCTATTCCATACTTCTTGAACATTCGCGTTTACTCTTGTCTCAAATGTCTGACGCTCGAACATTTTGAATGTTCAAGATACCGGGGGATGAGGAGAGCAGCCATTGCCTTGCCGATGCACTCTTCTTTTTTCCCGACACTCGTCTTTTTTTTTTTTTTTTTCTGGTACAAGTTTGCCGATTAAACTTTTATTTTCAGATTTAGAATTGTAGATCCTTTTCTATCCGCGACATTATTCCAGTTTGCAAACGTGTGAAAACAAATTCTCTTTGAATAGGTAGTAGAGTGATCTTACGATGATTTTTATTTTGTTGGATGAGATTTTATTACTCTCTGCTATTGCAGAGTTGAAACCACCTCTGCCATACTTCTACAGTTATGTCTCTTTAAAATAGACCCCTTTAATATGAATGCCTCATTATATAGACACCACTTTCGGCGAAAAACTGGGAAAATGCATGCATTTTTGTCGCCTTATTATGGACAACTCCCATTATGGACGATGTTTTACGAAAACGGAGGTGTCCATATTAACGAGACATCACTGTATCATAAAGTATATAGCCTCATATCGCCACGCTCATGGCCGAGAAAGAACGCTTCTCCGTACATCTAGAGGATTTGAGCTTACTCTCACTTTAGGTGAGAGTAAGCTCAAATCGGAAATTCGAGATACAAAGTTTAGCAGGTAAGTAGCCGGCGCGGTGTTGCCGAATTATTCAGACACTCCCGACGACGATGCAGTTTTTCGTCAGCGCTCCACTCTGCGTTTCGGCCGACTCGGACGCCCGCGACGCTTTGTACTTATCTTCGTTTACCTCTTTTGGTATTTCGTTTATTTCGGGCACAAGTTCGCGCGATTAGACGTTTATTTCGATTCATTAACCATGGTCCGGTCACCTCATTCGTGACAATATAATACTGTAGATACAGTCAGTGTTTTCTGGTTCACCCATATAAATCAAAGTCAAAGTTTATTAAGACAACCGTCGAGGGATACAGTTGTCTGGGGGGCTGCCACACAAGGCATCAACATGCTTGACAAAGAGACAGCCCCCCCCCCCCGCCCCCTTCCCTTCACGGCCAGACCATCCAACATGACCAGGCAAAAAGAATATCTGACAGAAGACAAAAACTACTTGATCATGAGATATAAAACATGAAAACCCATAACCAGTAAAAACATTGAAGAGAAAAACCAAGTAAATATATCCAGATTGTCCCCCACGCCGTAACAAAAAACAATGACCCACATTAATTTATTTTAAGCCTTCATAAACACGGCAGCAATGGGGCCACGCGCCACGCTCTTCTTAACTTGTGTTCATCTTGTAACGTCATAGTTTTGCAGTTGTGTATATTATTTAAAAAAGCTACAAATGAGAAATAGGTAGAAACAAGTTATCATAGAAAGCACATTTAATGATTTAAGCTCATTGTTGTTTTAATATTGTGAACATTGTTCGAGCTTGATAACTATTATTCTCACTAAAGCAGTTATGCGGATATTCTTGGCTGCCAGATGTTTAACCCTGCCATTTTTCCAGATTGACCCGTTCTAAACACTACTTTTGTTTCATGTAGATATATATAGTTATAGTTATTTTGCACGTAAACCCAAAAGAAGACCCTGCAGGTTCAGAACTTAAGTATTAACGTCTATCACTTTTGAGGCGACCATTGCGAATAAGGCGAAACAAGTATGTTTATTTCCTCTATATAAATATTCAGTTCAGCCTTCCCTATCACTGGAGGCCTCAGCTCGTAGGCCGTCCGATATATTCCCGGCCTCTAATGCGTTATTTGGCTGCTCCGGTAATCGTTTATAGAAGCAGATCGATGTAATGCCACAACACCAAAAAATATATATCAATAAACAGCACCTAGCTTCGTCTTGCAGTCATGTTAAACAAGAAACTGAGCATAAAGATGACAGGGCACTTGAGTTTAAAGTTCATTGTGAATGAAGCGTGATTAAGAGCCTATACCTCAAAGAGAACTTACAATATTTGAGTTCTTTAAGAAGTTAAATTGATATTATATTCCAGTACAAATTTGCTTGTTTTGTTATAGATTGCACCGTCGTTCATAAGAATGTATATAGAGACCATGAGCCTTAATCGTAGTTAGTCACCATCGTATACTCCAAGCGGCACTTTCGACGGAATTGGAAGTACCTCTACTACCCTATATCTGTCTGATTGTAATGTAGAGGTTCGATTTAACACACGATTATGGTGGCATAATCCGGCGTCAAATTTCCGGACAGGGGTTCAACTGCCACCTATGTCTTGCACATGCGTAATGTACCTCGGCGTTGAAATCAGACGCGATTTTTCAGGAAGTAGTACATGGCAGCATTATATCATGTAAAGTATCGTATAGGAGTGGAGATTTAATTTCCTTGTTAAACAGAAGGCATCACAGGAGGCGCTGCTTTGGGGTATCTCTGTCGGCTGTCATGCAACAAATAAAAGTGTTTTGCCTGCTTTAGTGTTAAATTGAGAGCGCTTCTAACTGTTCTCGTGCATTTCACGCCAATCTCATTCAGCACATGCAACCCGCTTATTTAGACACGCTTGTAAAGTTTTGAATTGATGATGTCGCGCATTAACTGCCGTACTTCTTCCAGCAAGACTGCTCCTGCAGACAAAACTTTTGTGTCACAAGAGTGGCTGGCTGAAACATCGTAGGACCACATCACAGCTTCCATGAGGCCCCCAGACTCCCCGGACACAAGCCTGCTGAACTATTATACCTTCGGAGCTCTTGAAAAGGAGGTCAACAAAGCAGACTCGTGATACGAAAGAGTCAATGAAGGCTATCATTGTGAATGTTATGGCCCACATCAATCAAGAACACTTTGTCAAGTCTTGCAGACGCTTCCTAAGCCCATTGAAACTATCATTACTGCTAATGCTGGTTCTTTCACTTCAGCTTTAAGAGCATGGGTCTGTTTTTTTGTTACTTCTGCTCTTCTAAAAAAAATCAGTCTCAGGGTAAACGACGAAATGGTGTATTATAGTTTTTCCAGATATATTGGCTTTTATAGGAAGTAAAATAGTTTTTGCATCACATAGGTGTGTGTTCTCAAATACCGGTCACAGTTTTATACATAATGGCTTGTATTATTTCCCATTACTGGATGTGGCCTATGTTTATTTTATTTTTATTTTACTAAATGTGTAAATACTTTCGCATTAACTATTGAATTAACCGGCTTACCTCCTCTCAGAAGGGGAGATTTTAGGATATTGCACTGTGGCTGGTTGAACACCACGTAGAAGTCAAGGTAATTTACTCCTTCGACTGGTTCCGCGGATACAGCTTCACCTTTAGCATCGTTTACGGCCTTCACTGCGTGCGAAGACAACATTACAGCGGACCGCTATACACTTTCAGAATGCAGAATTATTCACAGTAGTGGTAGTGAATGAAAACAGAACTTACACCTATCCGACAACGGCTTGCTTGAGGAGTTGCATGAATAATCACCATATTCGATATACATGTTGCTTCCCAGAGGGGTTGGCTTATCACTCGGAGTGCCTAGTTACAGGGCACAAACAAAGTATGTCTGTATCGCTTTTGTATGCAAAAATAGTTTTGACATGTTGAATAATCTAGTTTGGTTAGGAAAAAATAATGGTTATATTCGAAGCTTAAGAAAAATACTAACGTGTATGTTCAGATAAATGTGGCTTCCAAACAAACGTAAAGAACGACATACCAGGATCCATCAAGAAATGAAACCCGTTTTTTTGGGCCTTATAAAAAACTGCGCCTTAAAGAAATCTGAAACTCCGTCAGAATATCAAGCAAGCAGCGGGGTTATGGTGGGAATGTTCTAAATATGACATTAGCTGAATCAAGAGATAAAAGGGAAGGTCAAAATTCAACTATAAGCCCACGTCCATCTAAACCTAATTTTGTCAAAGCAAAAAATAGTATTTTGGGTACTTGTGGTATTTATATTAGTAAAACAATCTTGCATGAAAAAAAAAACAATATTGCATTTTTTGACAACTTTCTTTACAGAAATAAAATACCACAGCCACCCACAATTTTATTTCTTCTTTTGACGGAATTGGGCTTAGTCGGACGTCGGCTTACTGAGAATTTTTTTTTTATTGTTGGTGGTAAGCAAAGTCGTGATTCAAAACTTTTGCATCCTATCCCAACCACTAGAGCCATATTCTGACAGTTTAAGCTCTCTGCAATGCAAAGTTGGTTTATGCCGGTCAGAAAAAAAAAACGAATTTAATTTTCGCAACAAATCCTGGTACAGTGAATGGCGATTTTTCTAAATTAACAATCAATATGTTGTTTCTCTGAATAAACGAAGTGTTTTCTCTAGAGAATATGAGAAATATGTCACACATCAAAAATAAAAACTGAAGCTCGCAGAATGCTATTTTCTTCCTACCTTTGCAATGGCCGGAAGACCTTAGGTGTGGAATGCCGATACAATATCTTTTGCCAAACGTTTCTTTTTTCATTACGTTTACAAGTTATCCCCAAGCTCTTCCCAATTGAAATGGAAGAGGAACTGCGTAGACGATAATGTCGTCTGGTTAGCATTATGGCACTGCCATGAACGAATCGATGCAATATGGCTTATGCTGTCTAGCCACTGACACACCTGTTGTATCGGATTTATATCACTGTATAATACAACGCTCCTTAAACACAATTATCTAATATGGTAAATTTGCAACATTTTCTTTTTTTACGCGAGTACATAGGTTCGAGTGGTCTTCTCCAACCTTACACTTTGCTCATATATATGTCTCCAAAATAATTTCTCTTATTTAATATGCTTGTAAAATCCTTCAGCATACAGGATCTTTGGCTTGAAATCTGTGTTGTATTAAAGTGGAAGCCTTGACTTTTTTTTTTATTTCGACCATTGCCTGCGAGTATAGGTAAGATGCTGTTTTTGTTTTCTTTTCGTAAATATTTAATATGATGTCTAGCCTCTAATATATCACGATCACCATAGCTAGAACTACACCACTGCTTGCAGCTCTCCTACCAAAAAGTAGGTGCTACCATCAAGAGTACGGGTAACGGAAGCACTCCAAGAAACCATTAAACTAACTTCGTATGCTCTGATGTCATTCATCTGTTTTAATTCGAAGCCCGCCCTCTGCCTCGGGTACTTTGTGGGTGTCTCCTAGCTTTCTGGAATATTTTCTTTTTGAGATGGCAAGATTAACTTTGACTGATCGTGTCCTTGTTCCACACCACTGGCTTGTAAAAATCATTTTGTTATCACTCTTTTAATTCTGCCTATTTTATTTTGTTTCGAGTGTTTCAGGGCTTTTATCCTTACCAGGTTTAAAATTCCGTACAATAAGCGCAGGAAACAATTATCTGAATGCGAAACTCTTATATATTTTCAGAGTAAATAGTTCGTTTTAGTGCGCTCCTTGATAACTCTGAATGGGTCATTGCTGATATTTCGGTCAAATTAGGCGCAAACCAGGAAAAGTGTTTTAGAGACCTTTGCCAAGGTATCTGATTTAGAATGCACTGTTTCCCATCCCCACACAGATGGACAACCCCCTGAGTACATTCCTGTTCATTCATTAGAAATCTGTCGGGGGCGTTGTTTTATAATTGCGTAGAAATATTAGAATGAACGCATTACTGCTGGTAAAATAAGCTTGAATCCTAAATTCCAGGGGTACATACCGCCCAAGCCTGCACGTATAACATTTTCTGTCTTGTAGTTGAATTGACTTAAGGCTCTCACTTGGTACCTTAAAGTGTGGCTGAAACGTGAAAAAAAATATTATATTTTGATTCTCGACATAAATAATTGTTGCAAAAACAATATGTTGTTTAGTTACAAATTCGAAAATATATATATATATATATATTATGGTGCGCCAAACACGTCTACAAAACTACTGCTCTTTGCGTCCTTACTGCGTTTGCTTAATGTCTTCCTGCAACGTCACTGAATGCCTCTATATTTCGATTGATAGAGACGCTACACCGGGAGGCCGCCTGTGCAGCTGTAGCTTGCCCAGCAATCGACCAATCGAGATAAACTCAGGCACGTATCACAGGCTTTAACGTAACGACGTTGGTACGTCATGCTTCTAAGCAGGCTAAAAACATTTAAAAAAAAACGAACTAAATTTCGAATGGAAATCGGAACGGAACAAGCCTCAGACGAATTGCAAATACAGTTTCTTTAAACAATAATTATATTTCTGCCGAGGAATCCCCCCTCTTCCCCCGTTCTTATCATATTTTTGTTTTTTCTTATTTTAACGGTACATATAAATTCACTCTCTCTGTTCCGCTATTCTTTCACCTACAACAAAAATAATGGCGATAGGAATCCCTACTTAATATTCCTTATGGGCAAAATTAAAGTATTGTTAAGGACATTTCAATGTACCAAATGTACAAGGCATTCATCATCAGTGGGAGAATCCGTTCAACACCGTAGTCATGGTCCGTTCCGTCAAGTACGTTTTGATGCAAATAACTTTTGACAACTGTAACACATTGTGCCAAGAAATAGCGGATTTTATATTTGCTTCCCCTGGAGTATGTGCACAATCCTATAGGAAAAAAATCAGGATTATGCTTTTATAGTATTTTTGTATGAACATTATGTTTCTTTATATCTTAAATGTAGTGGCAAAACTCTCGGAACACACTGAAATACAGCCGCATTCCTAACCAATCCGTCCTCAAAATTATATCTTCCGCGATAGTGTCCTCCGGTCAAAATTAATGAATATCGTTTTCTAAGAAACATGCATTTTATTTTAATATCAACAAACTCACCAGTCAAAGACGCGTGAGCGACTAATAGATGGCATATCTCGCTTTTTTTTCTATAATGGAAGAATATATCATGACCACGACACGTGAGAATTGGCTAATTATTTTATATAGTATAATTGTTGTCCCTATAATGCAGTGAATGTCAAGTTACATTTAAGAATGCAATCGGTTTTTTCTCAACCAAACAGCTGTCATTAATTGGACTGTTTATTTACTCTGTCATCATTCATCGCCTTCCAGAAACAAACATTTTTGCGCCAGAATCCTGTTCGACTGAAGATCAGATGTTTCAGTGAAACTTTTTTAACATTTATACCCTTATCAAACATATGCTCATTGCCAATACTTACTTTTGTTCATCAGTCTTGTTAAAATATGTCCTCGTAAAATTGACAATTTTTAATGTCTCATTGTGAAGAGTTGCTGTTACTACGACACAAGTGGTATTTGGTTCGTGATTTTTTGAACGAAACATTAGGACGAATGGATCATCTTCTGATTTATTAATAGCCTGAAGATATAAAAAAATATACATTTCTTGTTATCAGAGTACTACATATCGCCTGAGAATCGTGTTTCAGCTTTCATTGTTTATAAATGCATGCGGAAACATTATTCCGCAATTACACATCAATATATTCACGTGCTCCCTAAACCTGCCCTACAGCATTTTGTATTTCGCTGCACCATGTAAGGCTAGCTAAATCAACTCAAATGTTATATATAAATGTTTTTGTGTCAAGAAAAGCGGCGATGGTGCTTGTCTTTAAGCTGATGCGTGCCGTGGGATATAATTTGATGAGAAAAAGACCAATCGTATGCGCAAACGATGTATGCCCAAAGTAAGCAATACTACAGACATTTATGTCTGTAGTATTGCTTGTGTAATAACGCACTGCACAACCACCGTATTGGAACCACAATATAAAAGAATTATTTTATTAAACTTCAAGTTCTCTTAAAAAAGAAATGACTCCCGGAACACCTTATTTTTTTAATATATATAAACTTTTTTTAATTTTGATAGCAACCTGCATGCTCAAGAGGGTGTAGAGCTCGCAGAAATACCCCTGAAACCCAATTTTTGATATTGGAATCTAGTTCATCTATCGTTGCGTTCTTCGTTTCCCTGCGCCTTTCTTTCTTTCTGTAATGACTGATAAAAATAAATAAAACGGAGACATTGGCTGTTGCTATAACAGCGCCGGCTACTCCTTTGAACTTGAGTGTTTAGTGTCCAGTAGTAACGCCATGTATAGCGACGTGCCTGCTCATGAAGAAGAAGTTGCTGAGGCCGAGACTAAATGTGTACACTTGGTATGAGAGGATGTCTGATATTGTTTTGGCTCGACCACTTCAAAGGTGTGACTGCACCATAGGCTACTTCTTCAAAGAAGTGGAAACTCTATATACACTTACTCCATATTTGCGAAATTAAATTATATTTTATTAATTTAGATCATTAGTTAATATTTCTAGCAAGGAACGTAGGAGCTTGTTTTTTTTTTATCAAACCGTAGTTTTAAATACATTCTACCAAATTTTGTTTCTAATACTTTGCCTGTGTGTGTGATAGATTTGCCGAAGAACTGATCAATTACCTTGAACTTTCAAACATGTCTATCTGCTAATTTTCTTCTTCCTTTCTACTGTTCAGAGTACATACCGTTAAAATATTAATAATATTGTGTAATGTTGACAACTACTTGTATTTTGTCGTTCTTCGATTCATCTGTATTGCTGACTTCCTCTCTGTGAGCGTTAACTTATTTTAAACTATGATTATTAGTGTGTTATTGACCCCCTTGTATAATGCTCTAACGGGACCTCAAGGAATAATAAACGAATGAATGAATGAAACTCCTTGCTACATGTTTGACTGTTATACGCACATCTGGGCGGTCTACAATTATATTACGCATTTTTTGTGATAATGAGCATCTCAATTGCACTCTAAAAAAAAAACGCCCGTGCGTCTGCTTTCCCGCACCAACGCTCGGAGAGCCAATCACCACAACTCACGGATGCAGCTCAGCGAATCACAATGCCGAAACATATGTTTAGACCAAAAACGCAGTCTGAGTTGTAACATTAAGCAATGGAAGCGTGACGTTTCGCATTGCTTAATGTCACAACTCAGAACGCGTTTTTTGGTCTAAACATATGTTTCATCAATGTCATTCGCTGAGCTGCCTCCGCAAGTTGCGGTGATTGGCTCTCCGAGTGTTGTGCGTGAAAGTTGACGCACAAACTTTTTTTAGAGTGTCTGCGGAATTTAGATGTCTTTCAAATTAATAAATAAATATATATATATATATATATATATATATATATATATATATATATATATTTATTTATTTATTTGGACACTGCGCACAACATCAGGCACTGTATATTTTTCACCAATATATATATATATATATATATATATATATATATATATATATATATATATATATATATATATATATATTTATATATATATATACATATATATATATATATACATATATATATATATATATTGGTGAAAAATATGCAGTGCCCAATGTTGTGCGCTGAAAAAACTGCCATATTAACCGCTCGAGCTATTGTCATAACCTCCTTAAAAGGATATTGCAATATCACATCACATACGTAGAGAACAGAAAACAATATATGGTATCAACTCTGGGGACGGTACACAAAGAAGGGGATGGAGACACCCGGCAGAGAACAATTCCTTGTAGGGTGTAGTAAGTTGGCAAGCAGTAACGAGAGAAACCTTCCCGCAAACCTGAAATACGCAATGTAGCTCCTTACACAAGCACCCCAAACCTTTCTCCCAAAGATTTAGGGCAGAAAAAAACTGCTTGAATATATATATATATATATATATATATATATATATATATATATATATATATATATATATATATATATATATATATTTTTTTTTTTTTAAACACTAAACTCAGAGAATTGGTTTTTTTTTATTTTTGAAGAATTTTTGAGACTCCTAGCAGCCTCACCAGGGACGACATAACTGAAAAGGGCTTCACCAGAAATTCCCTCTCATGAAGGGTTTCATTAAATGGTTTCAAGCATGTTGAATAAAAACTTGCCAACAATCACTGAAATATATACATAGCACAAACTCACGATTGTTAAAAGTAAAAACGCCACAACCTGCAATGGTTGGCAATCGCTATATTTTGAGCGCTGTGAATTTACATCCAGATTAAAAGTCATTTGAAAAATAGGTGTTATCTCCGGTTCCTATATATCTCGTTGACCACGTACCTTCCAGGCGTTTTGGAGAACTCCATATTGAGGATCGTTAAGTTTTGGGTGGTTTTCAGGGTTTTTTATGATCATTTGTGCCTGCCAGGCACAAGTAGTGGCGATGCAAGCGAACAAAGTTGCGTACAGGAGACCCATTGGAACTGCTGCAACTATCATTTGAAGCTTTTCCGGGATCCCTTTCGAACCACTTTTATAGCTGAGTAGGCGTATTTAATATTTAATATTAAGTAGGCGTACTCAATATTTAATAATCCTCTCCCAACCTTTCAAAAATCCTAGCTGTGGCACGTTTTTGCTAAGAAACCTTATATATCTTGCTGCTTTTTTTTTTTGTTGCCCATTTCCGCTGCTCATTCTTGCGAAACCTTGCACACCCTTGTGTTTTTGTTGTTATTTCTGTTTTTTATGGTGACTTAAATACTGTTTGCAATAAATTGAATGCTGTTGGAAATATAGCCACACCTTCAATATTTGTGCACAGGGTGCTCCACAAAAGTGGGCAAAATCAATATTGCAAAAACAACGCGTTGCATAAAAAAAAAAAAAAAGGTTTGTGTTGTTTTGGTTTTCTGCCAGGGACCCATTTAGAAAAGTATTAAAGTTGGGAAAAATTAAGTTGTCAATTATTTTTGTGTAATTACCTTTAACGTTGTGTTTAAGGGCATGGTTTAAATTAGAAAATTGCTTAGCATCATCAAAAAAGACTAAACCAATAAATTGCAGTACTATAGAACGCACGCGCAGCATTTTATGGCGTTCTGAAAAACCGCACAATTTCGACGGGTTTTTAAGTTTCGGTTTGCAATTCGATAACTTCTCGGCACCGACGGCACCCTTGGAGGAATAATGCAACAGACCACCGCTGCGCTGTCTTCACGTAACGCAGCAGAGGCAGGTTGCACTATTTCTCCACGGGGCGCAGTGCCGCCGGGGCCGAGAAGCGCTCCGATTGCAAACTGAAACTTAAAAACCCGTCGAAGTAGTGCGGTTTTCCAGAAAGCCGTAAAATATCCCGCGTGCCTTGTATCGTTCTGCACTTTCTTGGTTTAGTGTTTTCGATGATGCTGAGCAATTTTCTAGTTGCAACCATGCCCTTAAACACAATATTAAAAATTTTAATTACGCAAAAATAATTCTACACTTAATTTTCCCCAACTTTATATTTTTTTTTCTAAATGATCTGCCCCAGAACCGAAACGACATCAGCCTTTTTTCGTTGCGACGTGTAGTTTTCGCAATATCGAATTTGTCCACTTTTCGTGAAATACCCAGCACATGTTTGTGCTTATTCGTAACGCCAATTGGACTACGAGCGGCAACCACGACCCATCGAAACCAACCAAATGTCGCGAGAGTGTCACGTGACCTTCGGGGAGGGTAGATTGACAAGCGGGGTACGTATGGTCACGTGATACTTTCGCCGCGCTCGATTGGTTCGAAAGACCTGTGGCATCTGCTGCCGTTTTCCGTCAGGCAAAAAGTTGCAGAAAGGCTTTACGCTATGCGCTGTTAGTAGAAATCATGAGAGCGAAGAAACGCAAATATGGTGTGAAACTGAAAAAGCTTTCGTGTAATTCATACTGGTAGGCATGTTCTGTAATCATGAAATGATTACCTAACAAACCTTTTAGACATTAACATAACTATACTTACTGAAAAGATGAGAATGGCAGGGAGGTGCTTCGGGTGTCCGCCTCCAGCGCAAGTTTCCTTCCTTCCACAACGTTTCGGCGTCCGTGCACCTCGAACGCGCGCGCTCAGCCAAAGGAACACGCAAGCATAGCCTCCTTATACTCACAAAGCCTGGCAGTTCGACGACGGAGCAATAGAGTGCCCGGTCGCAGATTTGGAGCGTGAGGATCTGGTAGCGCAGAGCATTTCTCGGAGAACCTGGACGTCAGCGCAGAGCTTTTGCAGCGGCGAGGACCGCGAGGAACGCGAGGGCCTCGCCGCTGCAAAAGCTCTGCGCTCAGGAAATATGGTTTTCAAACCCGTCGAGAAAAGAAGCGGTAGCGCGAGGAACGCGAGGAGCACGAGAGGACAGTCCATCCCTCGGGACAAGTGTGTTTTGGCGTCTCGCCGCAGCGGGGCGTCCGTCACGTGGCTCCCCTCTCATCCGTTGTTTGCCGCTCTACCTTTTCAATTTCGGCGGCCGCTTCTCGTGGCGATCTGTCAGGCTTTGTCTGTATAGAGGAGGCTATGGCGCAGGGCAGGGAGCGCGTGCTGGAAGCCGGACGTTGGTAACACAGGCCCCTTCTCGTTCTCATTTGGTCTGTGACTGTGGATTGTTGTTGTTTACAAACCCGAAATATATTCAAATCTTGACTGCTGGAAGAAAACGGAAGAATCCTCTAAATGTATGTAGTGTAAACAATTATTGAACACGCCACGTGCACACGATTTTGAAGAAAAAGCGGCACATTTTTCTGGGATTGATTATATATTATTCTCAATTTTCTGCCACGTGATTTCATGTTAAACTTTACATCCGCTCTACTGTCGTCTGCGTCAATCTAGTACGAAATAATACCACAAACGGAATTTTAAGTTGAGAATATTTAATTTTATTATGCTAGTCATTGAATCCTATAACGTACAGAGCGCGACAGTGTTTGCGCGAACAAGCGATCGCGGTATTTTTTACTTTTTTTCTTTGAAAACAATTGGATGTCATCCAAGTTATTATCACTACGGAAAGAGCTCATTCAGTTCTATAATGTAAGCGGTAAAATTTCGTACTCGCTAATATTATTTAGAAGTAAAATGCAAAAATGCGCCGATGTCGTGTTCGCGCTAACAGTGTCGCGATGTGTACCTCTTAGTGAGAAAGGTGGTTCTCTATTTCGTCCGTTTTATGCATCTTAAAGTTCTTAAACCTTGATAGTGAACAACACATTTTGAAAACTTCAATTTGTGAAGGACTTCAATTTCGGTGCATCAGAGCTATTGTAGTTTACCACATTTTACACCTCATTTTCACAATCCGCAACTTTCAAAGTTGTATTTCACCACATTTTACACAACATATTCACAATCCGCAGCTTTCAAAGTAGTTCCCAAGACAGGTGCAACCCTGGTATATCATACGCTAGGAAACTATAATGATTAAATTGCGGCTTGTTACGTTTTGTGTTCATTTGCTTCTATATCCTGCTAGATTTGTTTTTTTACATAATGACGTTGCACACAACGAATGCACCCCGGGAAAGTGAACTCTGGGGCTTGTCTTGACAGCAAGACGGGACACAATGTCGGCAAGCAGTTTTCTCAGCCGCTGTCTTGCTGCCTCTCAAACTGAAACCGCCGCATTGCCTATTCATATTTTCAATATTTTTATCTTTCCTGCAATACAAAAGAAGTGGCCAGATGAAATTTCATACCCAAATCCAGGCTATAAGAAGTGCTCCCACGCAGCTCTGTGGTGTGCTTAGTGAAACAAGTAAGAAAAACTTTCCATGAAACATCATCTTCGTCAACCAGAATTATCATTCCACATTCACGGAGGAGATAAAATTGTATACAAAAAATAAACGAAATTCGTTTAACTATAAACTTAAGTAAAAGCTTAAGCCTTCAGTTCCTTCAAACTAAGCTTAGTTCTTCGACTCAGACTAGTTCATTGTGAATTTAGTTATATCTTAATTTACACTTCAATTTTTGAAGTTTTCTACGAAGTGAAAAATCTTTAGTGGCAATATTGTTTGGCAAACTCAATATATAAGGCAATTTGGAGCTTACATATATAAAAACCTCGCGAAAACACATTTCGGCCAATTTTTCACCTCTCCTTTTAAAAGCTTACAGCCGAACTGTCTTTTGTCAGCTTCGTGCACACAGTGCCCATTTTTTGCCATTGCCTCAGTGAATTCAGACGATGTCATAGCGGTCCCTGAGCAGAACCAAAAGTGCAAAACGACAAACGCAGAAATCATTATCACACCGCATACTTCATTGTTAGACGAAAACTTTTTGAAGGCGAAAGCTCTATATGGGTCCCATTAGGGAAAAATATGTCGGCGTTGTGCCCGAAAGATGGCCATAAAGATACGTCATCAAGGTCAAAGCAAACGTGCCTCAGAGGTAAAACACAAAGAAATCACAGCAACGCAGATGCTTCATCACGAAGGCCGTGAAGCCAGCGGGGGCGCCGCGCCTGCGCAGTGAGGGAGCATGACGTCACCTCCGGAGCACCGTGTGCAAAAGGAAGACGTGACGCGCTGACTCCGGCGCGTCATTTGCGCTTCGGACTTCATTTGTGCTCGTTCCGTGCCTCGTGCGATAGAATGTGAAGCGACCGCGCCTACATTTGCGGCCTCGACATCGGCAGCAGCTTCTACATCTACGGCGGCACAACGAATAAACTTCCGGCGGAAACAAATGTAATACGTGTATAAACATTATTCGAAAACATTTCAACCGCGGCACTATTGCTTTCGCGTTTCTACACGTAAGCAATTGTCTGCGGCGCATGTTTTTTCAATCTTGTTTACTTTGTTTTATGGACAGGCGGTGGTATCGTTCCAGAACGTTTATGAAAAACAAAGCATATTCTGGGCGATCCAATATTAATCTTTAAAAAATAACTCGGCTTTAATTTAATTATTTATTTTTACTCGTCTGTGTCATATAAGTGGACGGTGGAAAAAAACCGTCAACGGTATGATTTTTTCAGAACATCAGTGTTTTGTTCGTGTTCCGACTGGTGACTCCCTGGTCCAGAAACAAATTAAATAAACATTAAAAGTATAATTAAAAATATCTTGAGCTTATTTTGAAACAAACGTTTGATTTCAATTCATAGTAAAACTGGTCCGATATCATGATTCAAGCCGCATCTTAAATTACGATCTAAATCATCTCAATTTTCATTCACCACCCTCTGTCAAATATAGAGAAGAGGTCTACACAAAGTAAGTTTGACACTCTTTATAATAGAAACATTATATTTTATGATATTAGGAGCGACACATGAATCTAAAAAAATTCTTCTCGGAGCCATCAAAGCAAAAAATCAGTAATTCCTCATTTTTGTTGAAGTGGTATTGTAAGCTTTACTCTTCCACTTCAAGAAACTGCGATTGTAAATAACATTAACATTTTAATGTTATAAAATTTTAAATAAAAACCAAGCAGAA